CGTCGTCGTCGTACGTACGTACGTACGTACGACGAGTAGTACGTAGTAGTATATATATATATATATATATATATATATATATATATATATATATATATATATGACCTTTATCAAGAATTTTTACCTACTATCCAAGATCAATTTGATTGTATACTCAATCGTGCGTGTGTGTATATAGCATTCGCGTGTAGACTTCTATCTCGTCTAGGATCGTATTTCATTATACTTGCCCACGGATGCGATTATTTCCAAATACACGCATTGCGTGTAAGATGCACAGATTTCTCCTTCGCTAATTTCCATCACGACTCGTCACACGTATGCAATACAGGGTATGAGCTCTCATGGAACAAACACAGAACCGGCCATATAGTAAGCGCAAGTGACGACGGTATGATATGCCTCTGGGATATCACGCACTCGTGCAAGGAGAAGACCGAGATCAACGCCCTGCGCACTTACTCGGATCACACAGATGTATGCGAGAACGTACAGTGGCACAACCACAGCGAACACGTCTTTGGAAGCGTGGGCGATGACAAGCACATGATACTCTGGGACGCTCGCACCGACAATCCCTCATTCAAGGTACGTCTGGTTGGTGTCGTGTGTGTTTGCGATGTGTGTCTTATACTTACGACGCATTGAACGCGTAGGGTCGTCTTCGCGCGGTATTATACTATGAGTGTGTTTGTGGCTTTGTTCTTGATAACAGATTGCATTCCCACGTCAAATGCACGAGAACCACCTCACAAACACACACTAAACATAAAACAGTATAGTCTATAGATACGTATATAGGCGCCGCTCCCCATACAAGCCCTTGAATAACTGATTTACACGATAGCTTTGCACCTCACAAATCAGGATTTGCAGGCCACAAGCATGCGAATAAGATGCACATATTTGATATCAGATCTATGCCTAGTTCTGCGTGTGATAATTGCAGTGTTTGTTCCTCTATACGTATACCTGCATGTCAAACATGATATATGTATAGAATCTCTGAATGACTTGCGCTCGATGCACTCGTATACACCATAACATGTTTTTTACCTTCAGAAAAGACAGTTGCCACCAATTGCAGATTGCCACCAGACGCAGATGATTCGTTAGGAATACTTACATGCATTTGATTTTGATATAAGTTTCTGTTTTGCACTACTTAGCTGTTATCCCAATGGGCAGTCATGGACATAGCTGGCGTAACATCGTTTCAGAGACGTGTACGCTAGTGTATGTGCACCTATCTTATTTACGCATATCGTAAGCGTGTTTCCGTACGCAGATTAGTCCGTGTGCATGAAGACTCAAATCACTATTCGAGTCTACAATGGCTTGAATCAAATTCACTAGAGCTATACCCTCATGCACACACTACATAGTTACAAGCCCACGAAGCACCCATCAACACACTGGCGTGGCACCCCTTCTCGGAGTACGTAGTCGCTACCGGCTCCGCCGACACCACCGTGGCCCTGTGGGATATGCGCAAGCTCAAGGTCAAGCTGCACTCCTTCGAGAGCCACACGGACGAGGTGTTCCAGCTGCAATGGTCACCCTTTCACGAGAATGTGCTGGCCAGCGGAAGTCTAGATAGACGGACTATGGTGTGGGATATGGCCAGGATTGGCGAGGAACAAACGCCCGAGGCTGCGGCTGAAGGTCCGCCGGAGCTCATGGTAAGAGACGGGTAGGGGGGCGTATGGTGTGAAATGCCAGGGTTTCGCGTATGTTCGTATAAAAGATTAAGTGTCCTTGTGGGATGTGAGCGTCTGTGCACGCTCATGCATGTATTAGGTAGGAAGAAAGGACAGAAGATGACAATGTGCGTGAGTTTGTTGGTTATGGGATGCGAAGTTGCTAGGTATTATGAACAGTAGATCTGCGAGTCTACGGTGGATGATTCAGAGGTGCTCATGGCAATAGCGCGTGGTGGGAAGGGGCTTACAAGTTGTCCTTGTGCTGAGCGACTGTATCTGTCTCTGTGTGTGTATGTGTATGAAGTAGAGAGTAGAAGATCAAAGAAAGCGAGATTCGACAGCAATACTGTGTGCTATGAGACGTTTGGGTTATCGGTGTGTGATTATTGGTGTAATACCGGCGTTCGATTATCAGTTACCTATAATAGTATCGATATCTAGAGCGTTCTCGTATTTCCTTTCCTCTGTAATACAGTCGTACCGGCCTCCATTCTATGTATATACACTGTCCCTGTGATTTGAAAGAATATAGCACGGAGGCGTACCCAAGTTGCATGTGCCAAAGACTGATGAAATAATGACTATCTCACAAACCAAGAATGGGTTGAGCTGAACACGTGCACCGATGAATACCCATACAATACAGTTCGTACACGGAGGGCATCTGGGTAAGCTGACAGACTTCGCATGGAACGAACACGTGCCGTGGACAGCGGCATCGGTGGCCTACGATAACATGATTCAAATATGGCAGATAGTAAGTTATGGCTCTGTGTGTGTGTGAGTTTTAGAGGACAAAATTGTATCGAGAGCCTGTCGCTTGACACATGTGACTGCCCTTTTTGTTTGTGTCACTGACATTCGATATCTTTGCCCCCATGCCTTTTTTTCACTTCCAGTCGAGGGATATATATGATCCTCAGCCGAGTGCTGGAACCGTGAATCTGTGAGGAACTCGAGTGGATGGGACAGGCATGCACGTGCAATTAATGGTCAACAAAAAAGCAAATAAATTAGATATTGTACGTACTTATTTTGGGTTGATCGTCCACTTATTGTCGATAGTTTGCCACCTTCATATGTGGGTGTTATACACGGGGTCTAACTTCAAGTCACCCGACACAGGCTTAATGGCGGCTGAGGCCTCGGGTGTCTGTCTCATTGGTACTTGCGCCCGTACTAACAGAGTTAGAACGTAACCTGCAGTGAGACAGCTTTCGTAATATCGAATAGGACACATGTGAGTTATTTCTCGCAGTATTGACCAATGGCTACAAACTGCTGGGCCTGATAGCAGTTTCACTGGAGCTTGTCACCATTAAATCTTCTGGGCCCGTTGAGCGTCTGCCGCTCCTGTCATGCGCATGTGTAGTTTTATTTCATTTGAAAATACACTTGTTCCGAAAAAACGAGATGAACCTTCACTACCAGCAGATGCCGGCGCATACCACTGCCGTGTCCTTGATGTGTGCTCATCCATACACGTAAACAATGATATTGATGTTTGAGTATCCTCCATCAAGTGTGAACGACGTTCCTATTACCAAACGATGCTGCCACAGAGCACTGTCATTCCTTTGAAGTGCGTTCATTCATACAAGTAAACAGTGATGTTGCTATTGGAGTGTCCTCCATCAAGTGTGCACGACGTTCTTCTTATCAGCAAATGTTAACACATGTACTGTTTCACAAGGTTCTAGGCAATCAACTACATCATCGCCAGTCCATCTTGGTTCTTCAGTTTCGCCTTCTGATAGCTCGTGTTCTCCTTGACCTGGTCTTGTGGAGATAAGTTAGTTGAGTGCACACCTTCCTTCATGGGCAGTTGTCTCCACTTGGTATATACTTCACGATACATCACCCCTGTAAGCTGTGACTATATCTACGATCAATGGGAGATATTCTGGTGGCCACTAAACGGTTTTTGCTCACTTAGTTGGAGCCAGCAATTCCGCAGTAGCAGCTTCCCCATGTGATATAGCACTGGTCACTCTTCTGACCTCCGCTGCCTCTCTTTTCCACTGCTTTACGCTTGTTTTCTGCATGATACTTGTCGTGCATCATAATAGGTATATTCGTCTTCATCTTGTCACCTGCCACAGCTTAACTCACACACGAGCGGGTGTGGGAATATTGCAATTTGGAAAAGTTACTCGTTGGAGTTCGACACCGCACTTTCTAATCTAGATGTGCTCTGAAACTCGGGAAGCCTTGCCGATTACAGCACAAGGTTTTAGTAAGGTTTTTAAAGGATTAACAATCGTTATCAGTTTTATTATTTCATACTATTCATAACTCAAAGCGCAGTTCCAGCCCACTCTCTGTGCTTCCGCATTGTTTTAACTGTGGCCAGCCACTAATACATTAATTCGGTCGTGCTCTCACCAACTGGCAGTTCGGACGAACTGTACCCCATAAGCCTACGCCTGCGTTGGTAATGCTGCCATTTACTGTAGCCGAAATAACCCGCCACCCCCAACACTGCGCATTTGGATATAAAGAGGTGATTTGTGTATAGGTGCAAAAAAAAAAGCCAAGACAAGTAGCACTCACTTTTTGTTATTCCCGCCCCGTGCGTGCACATAATAGCACGCTAGGACTTGCACTATTATAAACCATATCATGCGCCGAAGCAGAAAGATCAGCTCTGTATTTACGCGTGCATTAGCGCCTATCCATGCATACGCATATCACACACTATATCGATATTCTTATGTGCATAGATGACCACATGGACAACTCCAACTAAAGTAAAGACAGCAGAGCTCCCCTTTGCACACTTATCTACAAGTATCAGAATATTGTCCAAATCTTACACCAACCCCCGAAAGACAAAACCACACACACATAACCACACCCACATATAAAAAAGACAAAACAACCACACACACATAACCACACCCACATAAAAAAAAAGACAAAACCGCACCCACACAAAACGACTTACATCCCAACACGCCCACGACTATGAGGGCAATGATTATAGTATCCGAGCTAGAATTGGACTCCTCGTCTTCGTTTGCTTTGTATTCGCGCATGTTTGTTTGTATTGAGGCAGAGTCTTCTCTCTGTTGCTCTGTCATGTCCTCCTCAGGTGTGTCTGCAGTCACTCCTGTGCGTAATGCAGAACATTCGCGAATTTGTCACTCCAATTAGATCCAAAATAAATACATGCACATGCGAGGTTGCCCATCCAGTATCAATTGCACGACCACTTACGACGATCAATTTGGCTGTGTCTGCAGTCGTTCCCGTGCATGTTCGTAATCGTAGGTAGCAATGGGCACCATTTTTCCAACAACACAAAAAACGAGTAGCTGTCTAGTTTATAATTAGATCCGCAACAGCGGACTCCAACTTTATGCAAGATAACTTATGATCTCTCTACGCGTATGTATACTTATGACCGACGTACCCCTACATAGCTTAAGAACTAATGATATACACAAGAAAGCCAAAACAAATGCACTTTTCCCAACGTACCTTCAATAGTATTTCTGATCCACGGTAAAAAGTGTTGCACACTGCTATATACACCGTACTCGCCAGCGTTGGCACAGCCAAAGCCAAAGCTAACAATCCCCACTTGGTAGATGGTTCCGTTGTCTGAAGTCATATAAAGTGGGCCCCCGCTGGTGTGTGAAAAGAACGACGAACGATATAACGTCAATGGACATATACCAGACCATATGTTTGGCGTGTGAAACGAACGAGGAATAATATAACGTTAATGAACATATAACATACAATGTTAATAAAAACTGAATATAGCCAACAATGTATATTGTGTGGAAAGTTATATTGTGTGGAAAGTATGTACGATACGAGACTTTCGAAAAAGACTACCAGAAAAATACATATTATGTACATATACACGGTGAAATCTCTGTTGACACGCACAGATCCACAAGAACAAGTGCGAATACATGATATATAAATACATATATATAGTTTACACACACATACATAAAATAAAGTATACCTATCACCCTGGCAAGCATCCACGCCCCCGGCTTCGTAGCCAGCACACACCATGGTGTCGATATCTAAAGCATCGCCAGATGACTTCAAACAGTCCGCATCAGAAACAATCGGCACTTCAGCAATGTATAGCGACGGCGGCGGAACGAAGTCGCTCTCGTCCAACACTCCCCATCCAGCGATTGTACCGACAAGTCCTGTGGTGGATTCGACCGGATATGAAAAATCAATACAATATGTATAGCTATATATGAAAATATATTTAGCGATAAACAACTCCATTAACTGAAGGTATTCATGCATAACACTTCACTCCATACATCGTCCGAGCAACTGATAAAGAATCAGCAAGATGAGGTATAGGCGAAGGAGAATCAATAGAAACCATGGGTATACCATCAACAAACAAATTTACATACCAGGTTCCTCAAAGCTTTCGTTGTATGCTAGCTGTATGGGCGTCATAGTTGTGGGCTCCGCAAGCGTTAGAATGGCAATATCAAAGTCATTGCTATTAATTGTCTGATATAGCTGGTGTACTGAGGCCGATTCTACCATAATGACCTGTGAGAATTAGATAATAAATCAGAACTTCCGTCAGTAACAAAACAATTGGAAAAGAAATTCCGATTCATGCCAAGATATTTAGAAATTGATGGATCCCACGACTATAGTAGACCTTTGTGAGATGTAAAAAGAATTTAGTATACTAGATAAGAAATTATGCTAACTTCGGGTTTCACGAAGTCAAGGTATAAACAAGCACATAGAATAACGAATATACTGGTGCCGATAAGATAGACGCTAAAAATAATTTGGCCTCCATGGGCACCGATATCGGCGATCTAGACAGATATGCCATTTGTGTGCGTGAATCAACCTTTGGGTATGTCTTCTCGTGGGTGAAATGAAAGTTATATTGTGAGAAGGAACTAGGTATTTATATAGAACCCCGGAGAGTGTGGGAAACATACACTCGCTCCAAACACATAAACACATATATACATACTATATATATTTATATATATATATATATATATATGTATTTATATATACACATATATGTCTACATGCATACATACATACATATATATACAAATATCTATATATCTATATATAATCGCTAGATCTATCTCTAGATATATATATGCATATATATATATAGAAAAGTATATATAAATATATATATATATATATACATGACTTTGTATACATAAATACATATACGGACATATATAAGTATATATAAATATATATATTTATGTATAGATATAAATATATGTATATAGATATAGATCTGTTCACCTAAACATATAGATATATATGTATAGGTGAACATATATATATATATATATATATATATATATATATTTTATGTATATATATATACATATATACATATTTATGTGTGTGTGTGTATGTGAATATATATAAATCATTAGCTATTTATATGTATAGATATAAATATTTGTATATAGATATAGATACATTCACCTTTATATATATATATGTATGTACATACATTTATATGAATATAAAAATACAGTTAAACACATAAATATATATCTATATATCAGTATATATACCAGAATATATATGTATACACACACACACACATATATATATATATATCAACATATATATATAAATATATCAATATATGTATATATCAACATATATATATATATATATATCAGTATATATATATATATATATATATAACAATATATATATATATATCAATATATATATATATATATCTATATAACAATATATATCGATATATATATATATACATGTATATCAATATATATAA